TGCACTCAAGTCTGGGCGACAGAGTGAGATTCCAACTCAAAAAAAAAAAAAAAAAATCAACAGTATATAAAGCTGACAAACAGTACAGAAAAATCAATGAGGCCAGAAGCCAGTTCTTTGAAAAGATAAATAGATACTTTTAGCTAAATTGTTTTAAAAGACAGAAGACAAGCCGGGCTCGGTGCCTCAGCCTGTAATCCCACGCCTTTGGGAGGCTGAGGTGAGTGGATTGCCTGAGCCCGCGGGTTCGAGACCCGCCTGGGCAGCGAGACCTCATCTCTACAATAAACCAAAAAAATCAGCCGGGCGTGGTAGCGCATGCCTGTAATTCCAGCTACTTGGAAGGCTGAGGCGGAAGGATCGCCGGAGCCCAGCAGGTCGAGGCTGCAGTGGCCGGGAGCGGCCACTGCACTCCAGTCTGGGCGACAGAGTGAGTACTCCAACTCAAAAAAAACAAAACAAAACAAAATAAAAGACAGAAGACACAAATTACCAAAATACAGGATGAAAGAAGGAACATAATGGCAGTTTTATTTATTATAGTTAAAAATGGAAATAATCAATTTGTACATCAACTGATAAGTAAATAAAATGTGTTATATAAAAATAAATGTGAGAAAACGTGGTATGTAAAAAGTGGAATAAGACTAGCAACAAAAAGGAACAAAACAGTGATACACATAGCAACATGGATGGATCTTAAAACATCATATAGTCTGGGCTGGATAGCTCAGCCTGTAATTCCAGCACTTTGAGGAGACTGCCTGAGCCCGCAGGTTCGAGACCAGCCTGGGCAACTTGGCAAGACCTCGGCTCTATAATAAGTTAAAAAAAAAGTTAGCTGGGCATGGTAGCATGCACCTGTAGTTCCGACTATTTGGAAGGCTGAGGTGGAAGGATTGCCGGAGCCTAGCAAGTTGACACTGGGGTGGTTGTGAGTATGCCACTGTATTCCGGCCTGGGCGATAGAGTGAGACTCCAAATCAAAAAAAAAAAAGAACTCATGCAGGTGAAGGAGGCAGCTATTAAAGACTTGGTTCTCTTTATATGAAATTTTAGAAAATGCAAAAACTATTGTGGTTACTTGGGAATGGTTGTGAACATTTGAAAGTTAAACCTGGCAGTGGTTGCGTGACTTGTGTACTTTACCAAAACTTAATGAAATGTATATTTAATATGGGTGAATTTTATCATATGGAATTATACTTCTGCAAATATATAAAAACATTGTAAGGATATTTTGGAAAGAATCTTAGATAAAAACAGGGAAAAATATGTAACATGAGATAAGACAAACATTGGGTTAATGTATGTTGAAAGAGCTTACACCTTTAAATAACCATACATACATTGTCAAAAGACAGAAACCAGTCTCTTAAAAGAGGAAATACAAAGAGCTGTTTGAAAATAATAGTCTTGCCAATAAATGCAAATTGAAACAAAATTGAAACATACTGTTTTGATTCATAAAATTAGCAAAAAAGTTTTAAAATATTTTTAGTATTAAGAGTTCCTGGCCAGACTCGGTGGCTCAGCCTGTAATCCCAGCACTTTGGGAGGCCGAGGCGAAAGGATAGCCTGAGCCTGTGGGTTCGAGACTTGCCGGGGAACTTGGCAAGACCTCATCTCTACAATAAATAAAAAATTAGCCAGGCGTGGTAGCACGTGCCTCTAGTTCCAGCTACTTGGAAGACGAGGTCTCACCAAGTTGCCCAGGCTGGTATCGAACTCCTGGACTCAGGCAATCCTCTCGCCTCAGCCTCCCAAAGTGCTAGATTACAGACTTAAGCCACTGCGCCCAGCCCAGTATTAAGAATTCTAACACGTGATACTTGGCACAGTGAAAAAGATTTTATAACCATTTTTTGAAATTGAGATATAACTTTGTAAAGTATACAAGTTTTAAGTGTACAGCTTGTTGAATTTTTCTTTCTTTTTTTTTGAGTTGGAGTCTCACTCTGTCGCCCAGACTGGAGTGCAGTGGCCACTCCCGGCAACCGCAGCCTCGATCTGCTGGGCTCCAGCAATCCTTCCGCCTCAGCCTTCCAAGTAGCCAGAATTACAGGCATGCGCTACCATACCCGGCTGATTTTTTGATTTATTGTAGAGATGAGGTCTCGCTGCCCAGGCGGGTCTCGAACCCGCGGGCTCAGGCAATCCACTCACCTCAGCCTCTCAAAGGCGCGGGATTACAGGCTGAGGATGAATTTTTCATAATGTTTGTGTAACTGCCACCAAGATCAAAATCTAGACTATTCTTTTGCCCTGAAACTTCCCTCATATGCCCTCCCAGTCACTATCCCTCTGTAAATATAATCATGATTCTGATTACTGTCATAATTACTTTTGTCTCTGCTTGGTTTTCACATCAGGATAACTATACTGCATGTGTTTCATGTCTGGCTTTAGGTCACCATGTTTGAAATTAATCTATACTGGTGCATGTATCAACTATTTGTTCTTTTTTTAAAAATTACTATATAGTATTCAATTTCCCCTGTAAAGTTAGAAAAAGTCTCTCATGGGTTAACCAGAGGCAACATGAATTAATACTTAGGCATACTTACTATCTTTTTCTGTATTTGTTATTTCACATGTGGCATTTATCTTTGTAATTTTATGCAGGAATATTGAATAATTTGTTTTATTTATTCATTTTTTTTTTTTTGAGTCAGAGTCTCACTCTGTTTCCCAGGCTGTAGTGCAGTGGCACACTCACGACCACCGCAGACTTGACCTACAGGGCTCAGGCAACCCTTCTGCCTCAGCCTTCCAAGTAGCTGGAACTACAGGCGTGTGCTACCACGCCCGGCTAATTTTTTGATTTATTGTAGAGATGAGGTCTCACCAAGTTGCCCAGGCTGGTCTTGAATCCGTGGGCTCAGACAGTCCCCTCACTTCGGCCTCCCAAAGTGCTGGGATTTTAGGTGTGAGCCCCTGCGCCAGGCCAAAAATTGAATATTTAAGAGACTGATTCTCTTAGATATGAAAGCAGGTTGGGAGAAGAGATAAGAGGATTTGACAGTCCACAGCCTTTCATCTCACCCACAGCTTGTCCCATCCTAGCCATTTTGATTTTAATATCTATAGCCAAACCCATTTAAAAAGTTACACCTGGGTCTTTAGTCACTTAATATCAGATTTTGAGTTTATTATATGTTAGCCCTATTTTTGGTGCTAGGTAATTAGATTTGCTGATACAATCCATTTCTGAGAAATTCATGGAAGTCGTTTCTTGGAGGTCAAATTAAACAGTCCTATTAAACCTATGTGTGCATCTGAATTAATTGGGAAATTTTTGAAAGTACAGATTCCAAAGCCTACTTAAGTAGAATCGCAGGGATTAGAGCTGGAGCTTGGGGTTCTGTATATTTTAAAGGCTTCCTGGGTAATTTTAACCCAGCTAACCTGCCACCAGCTTGAAGGAGGTATTTGGGAGCTATTGAAATAGAGAATCAGCCAGGCTCGGTGGCTCAACCTGTAATCCCGTTCCTTTGGGAGGCTGAGGTGAGTGGATTGCCTGAGCCCTCGGGTTCGAGACCCGCCTGGGCAGTGAGACCTCATCTCTACAATAAATAAAAAAAATCATC